ACTGCGCGCCATATGTTAGGCGTTAGGCTAACAATATCATCGCGCGAGATAATTCCTATGCAAAATCAATCCATTTTTAAGTGCTTATTAAACAATGATGCGTACAAACTAATGTATACATTTTTTTCCTCGGTGTGTATCACAGAGTGGAAGGATATGAAATTATAATAATGTCGATGATTAAACCGGGAAATTATTTTGCAAAATTTAACAGCCTCCTATTCCCCACCTATTAAATAATCGTACGGATTGTAATCAAGTCACGTACTACAGCTGTTGTTTGTTCTCGTTCTATATAGCAATTAAGGATTGCAAGCGTAATAATTACGCCTTGTTACAAGTCCACGTCTCCCTATTTTTATAAAAATTAAATAATAATACGTTTTACAATTGTTGATACTATGAGATAAAAAAAGTCTACTCTCTCTCACTCTCTCTCTCTCTCTCTCTCTCTCTTTCTCTCTCTCTTTCTGTGTAATATATTGTTCACGTCATATTAATGAAAAGAGTTACCCGGTCATGGTACTTGTAACCGGACTGAGCTGCCAATAGGGATGCCACTTGCGGTCCGCCTTGTATCCTGACGACCCATTCCTCGCGATGATCCGCGCCGGCGATGTCATCAGCAATGAAATTGGATGCACATACGACCATGACGGTGATCGGCATAATAAAGTACGCGCACGCTCTACGGAATAAGCGGAGTTTCGAATATCAGCGCGACTATTCTTTCGCTCGCGTTGCAGTGCAGAAGAAAGAAGATTGCAGTAAAACCTCCTTTCGCATAAGCGGATTTGGCAAGCCGCTCTGTTACAGATATATTAAGAATACTCGATTGCCATAAATGCGAAAGTATTAAGGACGCTCGATCGTTTTATTTTCGCGAATTTCTTGCCCGATCTTCCTCTGTTCAATCTCTGTTTTTGGAAAAAATCATATTCGATGCATTATTTGAGCTAATTAATGAGCTGATAATGAATTGCTGCAATTTTGAGAATGTAAATTAACGAAAAAAACCTGTTATAAAAATTTTTTCCTTTTGTCGTTTATAAGAAAAATGATGTTACATACATTTTTCAAGACAGCGGATTTAACATAGCGCAATCGTTAATCCTTTATATTCTTATCATTCGTGCAGCGCGCGAGACATTCGCACGGCGTATAAGAATTATGGCTATCATTTTTATCGTTCGCAATTTGTCGGTATAATTTTGAACAGAGCAGACACTATGGCCGTTGCACAACGACACGTACCTGACTAGCATAACGATTTTCTCGACAGAATACACAGGGGTAGCCAATAAATAGCGACGATCGCGCAATTATTACTTCCACCACAGTACGATCACTTCCGAGGAATTGTCGTTCTTTTTCTTATCACTTTCTTCACGACACTGCGCCTGGACTCTAGCGATTCCGTCCGATTTCTCTGCCGCGCGCGTACCGTCTACGCGACTGGAAGGACAATGCCGGTGGAATTCGCTGGAGCCAGCTATTGGATCGCGGGTGACAAGTGATCGGACAGTGTGCGTGGCAATTAGCCGCGATGTTCCTTTTTGTCTGTCTGGGGTGGGGAGCATCTCGTCGCCCTCGCGCTTCATGCTGTGGTAGACGGTGCTGATCAGTGGGGCTTGGAAGGGTAGCGGATTAAACTAAGCAAACGTGACGCAAAACGGACGCGCGTGGGATGTAACAAGCCGATGATAACGATTTGTGGGCAATTTCCGATAGCAAATGAAGCTGTTGATATGCAGCATTGCTATTGCTTTCGTTGCAATCGTTGATTAATAGAAATATTACTTTATGCTTGAAACAAATACTTGTAATTTCCGCAGAGAATGCAAATGCTTTTTAATAGTTGCTTCACTTATGGAAAAATAAAGTTAGATCGTCAGCATATTTTTATTAGTTGCATCTATTTTACTATACAGAATAATATAAAACTAAATTAATAATCTTATAAAATAATCTTTTTATACGAATTTCTTTAAATATATATTTATTTTATTTGTATAAAAAGAATTATTTTATGAGATTCAGTTAATTTTGTCGTATTATTCTGTATAATAAAATACGTTTAATAACAATATACCCGTGATCTGTCTTTATTTTTCTATAATTGAAGCAACGTATTAGAAAGTCGATGGAAGGATTAAAAGAAGAAAGGCCGTCTATTACTCAGGCAGATGTGTGTGTTGATAATCCGGGCAATAAAGTTCGTCGGCTGAACGACAACAGTTCGTAGAGTGTGCGTGGCAATTAGCCGCGCTATTTTTTTTTTATCTGTAGGGGATTTCTGTCTTTACTACCTTTTTCTTATTGTTGCTTCACACGAATTGAGATAGATGCTTGCGCACGTATCATCAAATACTTTGAATGAAATGATCAGAGAGACATCGAGCTCTAATGATCCTTAAAACATACGAGAAATAAAATATGTTATTTCTTATATGTATATAATTTTTTTATATATAAAATTTATATATGTATATAATCTTTATTGCAAGGATTGATTAAATATTGGCATGAGCAAAGTAAAAATTCGCCACACATACAAATAAAATACGTAAAGATATATTCAAATAAATTACAATAATAAAAACAATTTTGTCCGTAAAATAAAATTTATTTTTCTACACGTTAAAGTTCTAAAATGCTTTATTATTTTATTCATCGTAAATCGCATATACTTTACTCAGCTATTTGCTCTTACGATGGAACATTCTATCATCTTTTGTTCACGTATCTTTGCTCACTTTCCCTCGAGAAATTATTCCTAAGGTGGAACTTAAAACTTTCTGTACGTTATAATGGGAAGTTTTGTTTCATATGGAATGTATGAAACAGAAATGTTTGAGAACTGAATAGAGTTTTATGTCTGGAAATGTATGGCAATATAACTTTTCTAAATATTAGAAAACTCAAGAAACTGCGTAAGGCATGTTACAAAAATTTTGTTTACTTTTGTCAAAGCAATGTATAACAAATGTATTTAATATCCTACAGTACATGTTGTATTTAGTGTATGACAGTGTGCGAAAAGTATGCTTCTTTTAAAAATCTACAGATTTAAAATAAGATTGATTCTTGCGCGAAGAGCATTAGTTGTAGATAATTATTAGTGTTGTAGAGTTGTCAGAGTCAGCTTAACACAACTCGAAGTATTTATGCCGAATTTAATGAGAATTCGGATACTGAAACAAAAAGGCATTCGTTGTCATGCCCTTCGAGAGTTCGCGGAGAATGGCGTGTGGCAATTTTGTTGGGGGAATTATTCCGAGCCATTGCTCCACGAAATAGATTAGTTGCGATGTAATTGAGACACGAAATAACAGCATCAAACAGATGCTTTACGTCACGCTTACCCGACTCCCTCGACGTAATCTGAATGCTCAATTGTAGCGACATTTATGATACCAAGATTAATCGCATTATGTGCTCTTTGAAATTCAGTTTTCGCACAACTTCTCTTTGGCTGTTAGATTGGAGATCAACTTAATATTCTTGATGTAAAACTTACTTTTGCATGCTTGATTAATTCTTCCCGACGCGATGGTTACAGTCATAATCTTTTAATAAATGACTGTTTTAAACGCAGTATTTAATGCCGGTTTATTCGTATAATTTTTAACGTATTATATATAATTATTCGCGCGTGTGATGTAAAAACGGGCATAATTCATTAAAAGTCGGTATAAAGTTATGTTTTTTGTGAAATTTTGCTTTGTATCAATAATTTACATAATTCGGCTTTTGTATTTTTCACTTAATTGTGTGTAAAAATTTATTGTCTGCATTATTAACTCCGAGATTCCGAAATACAAATAATATAAAATTGACATATGATAATAATTAATCGATAGCTTGATGATATTAAAATAATTTACAACGTATTTCTTTAAACATTAAAATATTCATGATTTCGCGACAATCGTAGAAACGTGATGCTATGAATCTATTGCCCGCTATTTACTTCACGACGCAGGCAGTAGCGGTGGCGGCATTCTCGAATGTGAGATACGAGTTAATGTTGTGTTTTGTTTCTTTTTCTTGTTTCAAGTAATTTCCGTGATATATGAATGACATATGAATGTCGTAAGTCAAATCTAATGACAAGCTATTGTATTGCGATTGCTAGTAATCGAGCAGTGGTAGATCACCAGTGGAGAGTGAATCAGCATGTATTTTATCACCTAACCTATAATCCGTCTTTCGATATTTGTAAAGCTAGTTACGCCTGCGTTGCGTATAATTGAAAATCGTTTCCCGAATCTTCAAGTATCGGCATGAACTGTCTCTGTTTCTGGCATTTTTAAAATGTATTTCAGAACTAACGGGAGTGTTGAATAAAATTACGGGCAGTCGTTTCGTGTTATTTGTTCATTCGGAAATGTATCGCGCGTATATCATGTGTCGGAAGTAACGCGTCGGAAATAATACAGGTAAATGATAATGAACTTGATAATGAATCTTTTTTGATATTTATGTTTAAAATTTGTTGATAGAACGGCTTTGTCAGACATTGTGTTCCGAGTTAATGGATTGACAAAACGAGACGGAAAAACGAGCGGCTGATGAGCCAGTTTTAATATTTTATATAATTATTTGTTTATTTGTGATATCTAGCACGTTAATAACGTTTATACAATAAAATTGTAATATTAATCTGTGATCCATTTCTGTGAATTAAATAATTAAAACATATTTTGCTACTTGTTGCATTTTATCATTTATTAAGTTTAATATTTTACTAGAAAAAGATTTGACATGTTTAAGTGCAAACGAAAAGATTAGATTTATATAAAAATTGTGACGTTTGTTAATTATATGAGACGATCACTTTTCTATCTATAATTATTTTTGTAATAGTTTTTCTATATAATTGTTATTATAAACTTTTATTTCTGTACGAATTATCAGATCAATTTTTTAATTTTTTAATTGCTTATTAAATAACAATAGGATTTTTTGAAATATTAAGATTTTTCCATTTTTTTCAGGTTATTTCGTCTAGTTTTCTTCGGCTGCGTTTTTTGGCTGCGTTCTTCGGTTGCATTCTTCGATTGCAATGGTGAGTTTTATTTTATATACATACATATAACGTAATTATATTATACTCGTGTTCTTTTTTGCCTGATATTTCTCTACATAGACATTTTTCTTGTTTGGTATGCTTCAATCGTAAAAAAAGCGAGTCGAAGAATTGCCTTTATTATCGACCGATATTTTGTTTAAAAAAGACTTAGGATTTATATAAATGAAAATAGAGAAATCAGATTTTGTAAAAATATGCTTTTTTATTAATTAGCTAATGAATAGATTTTATATATTATTGTATAATTATAATTATTTTATATTTAATTAATCAAGTTGATTTTTTAACTATTTTAACTATTTGTTTGATATTTATATGATAATTAACATGAATTAATTTTTGACTCCGTATTGCAGGAGTATAAAATATTTAAAATAGAATTTGGCAGAGTAATTTAAATGTTTAAATCGTATTGCAGTCGTTGACGCTTTTTGATATAAAGTTAATATTAAAGTATTTGCTATTTTTTACATTAAAAAACTGCAATTTTTATAATATTTACACAGATATGCTGTTTTGACCAAATTAATTGACGTTCTGTTCTCTCATTTATGTCCTCAAATTAAAAAATTAACTTTGACGTAACAACTCACTTTGCTTTCCAAGTTATAGCTTTATCTACAATATAGTTAGAGAGAAAGGAACAGTAAGACAATTCAATTAAAGATATAATACTAACTTAAGTTGAGTTAACAGATTCTTAATAGCTTGATGTTAATTGCAAACGACAGTCAAAATAAAACAAATATAACAAAATTTATCTTTCTTGTTTGGCTAAGACGGAAATCGGAACAAGGAAATCGAAATATGTGCAGTGTGTCGCAAAATAATTATCTTTTTGCGAGAATGAATTAAAATAACAAATATATTTAAGACATTTTAGACACAAAGAAATGAAAGTTATGATAGATCGGACAGATAATGAAAAATCGCTATAAATTATTAATGAGGCACGCTTTAAATCTTTAATTTGTATTCAAGTGATACATGAACTTAACTCCCCATTTCGCACAATTGGGAGTTAATATTGAACCAATGCGAAGTAAAACGTATTTTGCGGGTTACGTTTGGAGTAGCGTAACACGTAAGCACATTTAGACGCGGATTACCATTAAGTAAACGCGATTTAACTTTCGGGATGTCATGCTTAATCGACCCGCGTGTTCGCTCGCCGTCGACGCGCGATTCGTTTTACCGGCATCGTCGGCTGATTAACGTCCATACATACGCTCCGTTTCCGATTTGTTTCATTTTCGCGAGACCGGTAACTCGGCAATTACGAGCGACCGGTTAAGTGCCGTTATGCAACCCAGACTGTGTAATTACGTCGGGCATTCTACGTGCGCGCGTACTGAATGTACTTTCGTATGGATTTAACGTTGATATGGAATTTCACTCGCATATTGCCTGGCTCGCCGAAGCCGGCCGTCGCCTCCTGGGAACCTTCCGCATACGATTTAAACTGTACCAAATCCTCGGCATAATCCATTTAGGACTGCCTGCACTAACGCCGCTTACAGCTAAGTTTAGTTAAGTTAATTTTCTCTTTCCACCTATATTATAGGAAATGTGCAAGATTCAAAAATAGTAATAAATTATTTGGATTTATTTCGTCTAGATTGTCGGTGTAACCAGGCTCTAATTATGTTTAAATAACGGATAAGCTCATAAATCTCTGTTAGAATTGTCATTTTTTGTGTGATATATTAAAAACCAATACATTGTTGAAATTAATCAAAAGATATGTCTCTCGTCTTTTCTTTTTGCGAATTTTGAACCGTTATTTCAAAAATTTTTGAGATGTAAAAAATGGCGCGATAAAATGTGATATTATTCAAATTATGGCAAAATTCAAATTATTATTCATGATTAATAGGAAAATTTAGAATTAAAACTATGATAATCTCTCTCTCTCACCTTCTCTCCAATCGAGAGATACGATGTAATAGATACTCTGAAACATTATACTCTCCGACATTTACTTCCAATACGGTGCTCGCCAAGTAATTCCACCGACAATAGTCACCGAGAATTCCCGCGCCCCCAAAATCCCCGACATGAGCATCAGCTAAAGCATTTCCTTATTCGAATGGAACGACGATGAGGCATACAAATCCGCGTAATTGAAATACGAGCGTGGTCGACCGGGTATAAGAGCCGTTTTACAGTTTTCGGTCGGCGAAACGACTCACTTTGTCGTTTGCCCGAGGGTAATGCTTATAAATAAATTCAGGCCTTTTTTTACTATCTGTCTTTGAGATAGATATACATGGGAAAGAGACACGCGAAGGGCGGCCGATAAAAGTCGAAACAGAGCCGGCAAGCGTCGTAAAATCCGCAGGAGAAAGAGAGAGGACGGGTATATCCGCCGATAAAAGGGACTCGTTTCGGTTCAGTTCACGTCGAATTTGGGATAAATTCTCCTGCCGTCTTTTACCTCTCCTCTCTCATTCCTTCTTCTTCTTTCTTTGCTCCTTACGCAGATTTCTCCTCAAAAGAACAAGAGAATTACGACGGCGTAACTTTTGTCTTTTATTGACACTTTCTGGTAAGGATACCGCGCTTAAAACGACCCCAGGCTTCTCGACTGCTTATGCGAAAAGTTCGATGATCATGGTGATATATCAAATCAAATCTGTTCTTTTATTGGAAACGATGGCCATATGTTTCTGATTGACTATACATATATACTTTTACTACACTCAACAGCGAGATTAAAGGATCACTAAATTTCTGCAGAAAAATTGTCGATCTTTAAACTGTAACAACTTTGCGAGAAAAAATCGTACAATAATTTTCCTGGAGTCGTTTTAAAGGGCGAAGTCTCTATTTTTACCTCTTTTACTATTGAGTGTAAATGTTAATACAATACCTACCTATATTTTTTCAATATTTAACGCTGAAAAAAGTATCAAATTATTAAAGAAAATTTAGAGTTGCTTTTAATTCAATTATATATATAATGAAAAGTTATCAAAGCAGATTAAAATTACTAATTAAAGTTATTTTTTTTTTTGATTTTTTTCTTATATATGTTACAAATCCAATAAGTCTGGCGGCGCATTATGCCAATAAATTTTGCTGTTTGTAAAACCGAGATTTGTAAAACCAATATTTGAAATTTTACATCGAGTGGATTTTCAGCTAGTGGCATTGTGTATTTAACATCGACATTAATCACAAGTAGTTAATACAATATAACAATACTGTTTTAAATTGTAGAATTTACATATGCAATGTATTATCGATATGATCATATGGGACTTGCATATTGCAAACTTGCGAAATTTCAAATCTACACGTCAATGGCATTTTATCAATATTATAATTTCACATGTGATGTATGCTAACAATGTCGCACTTTATTATTTTAAAATGAAAATTTTAACTTTGCGCAAATTCATGGATGTTCGATGCCTATGCAGTAATTTCGAGATTTAACAAGTAAAACATATAATGTGCTCAGTCGCGCATTAGTTTCGTGTTAGTGCAACTCGTACGCGCAGAGTGAGAGAGAAGAGAGAGAGAATGTTCCGACAGTTTTCAGATAATTTCATTACAATAGTTATCGGAAGTTCGTATTCCATTAGGTAACTCTGTATATTTTGTGCACTTCCATCCCTGCGTCCCCTCTCTTCTGTCCTGCTCCACGTATGCTCGTGCTTTTCGCACATCACGCCGTTCGTGGTGCGCTACGTGTTATAGAACTTTTACGAATTATTGATACGAAAAACGAAATCGGACGTGGCGTTCAGCATGTAGAAAGAAATAAATGTTTTCAAGTATCTGAGATTGACAGGCGGCATTCACGCGGATAGATTTTTTGGTTTTCGAGTATTTGATGAATCGTCGGTGTTGGTGAAGCGCAACATGAATAATAACATTTCTAACGGAATAAGTTCTTCGCAAAAATATACATTTTGCAGAAGCTTGTTTTTATTTGATTTAATAGTTTAATTTTATTTCAAGTTTTGCTATATAATTAGAGTCAAAGAGATTACGGTTTGGTAACGATCTCTTCCAAATAGTCGGAAAATTTGCACGGGAGATATTTTAGCAATCTCGCAGCGAGTTTGTTTTTCAAAAGATGATGGGAAATGGGAGAAGAATATATGGGAGGGAAAGAAACGACGAGAGATATGAAGGAGAGGCGATAGCGCGAGTTAGACGGAGGGAAAGTAGGACCGTTTATTAAGCACTCCGTCGGCTTTCGTCACAAATTCCTCTCGACCGTCGAAATAGAACGCGAAAGTAACCGTGGAAAATTGGAAACTTTCCGCGCGATAAAATCGGACTTAATTTTCAATAAATTCACCTTCCACGGAGCGCGGAGCGCACTCGCCTCTCGTACGTGGTTCGACGCTAACTCGAGAGCGGGGAGTCGGAGGAAAGGTAATTTACTTGGTAATTATAAAGTTACTGGCACCCCCTTCCCCCTTCTCTTTTCCCTCTTTCTCTCTCTCTTTGGCGACGCGCGCGTAGTTGTTAATATTCAAATGCGATTACATCTATGATCGCATAAATTATACGGTCGCTCGACACTGTCGCCTTCTGCGCGGCGCATTTCGGTACTTTCGGTTTAACGCTCGTGAAAACTTTAGCGTTCGTTGTATATACGCGGGCTCCTGCCCTTAAAGGCAATAGGACTTCGCGGAAACATCGCCGGACGAAAGCATGTTTCTTTGCGCCACTCGAAAACTGTGTCATGCGATGAAACTCGCGCCATCTCGTACGGGCTGTCAAGCGAATCGAACATACGTTCGCCTGTCGCGTAAAAAACATTTCAAGAATCAATGCTGTAGAAATGATATTGATTTTGTATATTGACGTATCAGCCGCCTTTGTCACGTTTTTATTGCACATACGACGGGCAATAAGGTAAACTGACGCACGAGTCAGGTGGGTAGGTTGGATTATTTCCGGAAAAATTTTGGCAACAAGGAGATGCGAGGATGCATCGAGTTTCTTGCGCAATA